TGCACTGTAGAGATTTCTCACCACTAAAATGAACTATATAGTCATAGTAAATTGATAACTAGGTTCAAATGAATGTGCTAATGCAGGTGAACAGATACATTGTTAGGAAACAACAGAGAGGATGTCTGTGTCTCAGTGTCTATTCTTTTTTTTTTTTTTTTGAGTTGGAGTCTCACTCTGTCACCCAGACTGGAGTGCAGTGACCGTTCCCAGCCACCACAGCCTCAACCTACTGGGCTCTGGCGATCCTTCCGCCTCAGCCTTCCAGGTAGCTGGAATTACAGGTACGAGCTACCACGGCTGGCTAATTTTTGATTTATTGTAGAGATGAGGTCTTGCCAAGTTGCCCAGGAGGGTCTCGAACCTGCGGGCTCAGGCAATTCACTCACCTCAGCCTTCCAAAGCGCTGGGATTACAGGCTGAGCTACTGAGTCCGGCTAGTGTCTGCATTTTTAAAGAGGTGTTCATTCCCTGGGTAGAAGGATAAGTGCTGTGAAATAGGAGCTTACAATGACAGAATTTTAATGCATGGTATGTGCGACTAAAGCAAGGCATGGCACCCTCCTCCTCTTTAATGATACATATATTAGAGCATTTTTGTGGTGTTGGCTCTCCTCTAAATGTCGGGGTCTTCTCTAGGTCAAATGGCAGCTCGTCAATGCTTTATTTCTTAAAGAAGCCAGATATAATTTTAATCAAAGGTAAAGCTTCTTGCTAAAATTCTAATGTCAATGAAAACATGAAAGTCTCCCACAAGACAAGCAAAACACCATTCTTTAACATTTTCCGAAACCAAAGTAACAATCCGTTTGCCACACATTTGAGTCTTTTTTGAGTTACACAAAGAAAAATATTATTATGTTTTGGTGTTAAATATCTTTTATTTCTCTGATCATTTTTCTTTCTCCAGTTTTCCTCCATAAGACATTTCTTCTCCTTACAAATTCTGAAATGTGTAGTTTAACAGTCTGCATTCAGATTACCAGTCTCTGTTCTAAAGCAACATGAAACTTTGTGCTAATTTTAAAAGACCCACATAGCCTTTTGTTTCTCTTCTCTACTAAGCATTGAAAGTCATCTGCTTCTCTTTGGGAAACTTACTCTAGTAAGCTTTTGCAATTCTGTCCTTTGAGAATAAAGAATATAATAGTATAAAATAGAATAAAGACTAGTATACAACCGGGCTCGGTGGCTCAGCCTGTAATCCCGCGCCTTTGGGAGGCTGAGGTGAGTGGATTGCCTGAGCCGCGGGTCTGAGACCCGCCTGGGCAGCGAGACCTCATCTCTACAATAAATCAAAAAATCAGCCGGGCATGGTAGCGCATGCCTGTAAATCCGACTACTCGGAAGGCTGAGGCAGAAGGATCGCCGGAGCCCAGCAGGTAGAGGCTGCGGTGGCCGGGAGCGGCCACTGCACTCCAGCCTGGGCAACTGAGTGAGACTCCAACTCAAGAAAAAAAAAAAGACTAGTGCAGAATAAGATAAAGAAGTTGGGGCAATAGAGAGGATATTTAGACAGAGGGACAACAGTGTGTTCTCATTGTCCCGTTGAAGTAAATGCCAATCTCATTATGCCTGATTTCACTTATTTCCTGCCATTGGTTTATAAAAGGCTGAATCTTTTCTTCTGGACAAAAAGCAAGTTATTGTCAAGTGAATAGAGAACAATTTATTTATTTTAGTTATGACTTCATCTATAAACTTAAATTTAAAATTACAGTATTAGCATTTCCTAGAAACAATACTATTACAGATTTCTCTAATGCAAAGTTCTGGAGAATATAATACCTTTAGCACAATTATCATACTTAAAAATTTATTTCTGAAAATAGATTATAATAGGCAAAACATATCAGATTAACAAATTGAGAATCAGAAAACAGATTGCAAAGAAGAGTGTGATCTTCTGCATGACTCTAGAATTAAGACTCAGTTTTTTATTTTCCATTTGATACTAAATAGGGCTTAATAGGAAGATTCAAACAAACAGAACTAGATGTTTTATGAGACAGATGTTTCACGGGGAGGTGAAGAGCCAATTAATGGCAGAGATTAGAAGAGTTGGGCTCCAATCTCAGTTCTGCTACAAACAATAGATGATTCGATGTAAGTGTGGGCCCCTGTTCCCTCAATTGTAAGAGTACTTCTAGCTTCAGTAATTCATATTTCTATAACGATATGAAAATAACCTAGCTAGCATACAAAAAAAGAAACTATAGTAAATTATATATATATAAATTATATATATATAAAAGAAATTAATAGTAACAATATTTGTCCCATTGATTTGTTTAGAAAACCTCACTATTTGACTGGGGTAACCTATTCTTAAGGGAAAATTTTTTTTTCTTAATTTTTTTTAATACAATGACCATTCTTCGTCATCAGTATTAACTTTTGATGACAATAGCCCATTGGCCTCTAGCAAGCTTTTTAAACAATGCCTTATTATTTAAGTCCTTTACCTGTTGTGAATGCTCTAAATAAACATTGATTTGGGGGTTATAAATAACATGGCCATGTGGATTAAATCAACTCAGCCTATGCCTTGTCTACACTGCTTTTATTCCTTTGTTTTAAGTGCCTGTACTGTCACAGTCATCCAACTGGCATTTTAAAGTCATGAAATGAAGAACTACTAAACATTTCACTTTTAACCTGAAGATATTTTTGAAAAGCAAAACTAAGTCCAAATGTACATATATGTCTAGTATGTATGTGTGTATGCATATATGTATAGGAATCTGGGTTTTTAAGTATTACTTATACATAAAAATCACAGCCTTCCCTTCAGGAGATCCAAGAAGATTAAAATCTGATGCATTCTCTCTTTGAGAAATACAAAGTGAATGTCCTTGTGCACAAGATAAATTTTTTCATAAAATCTTATTTTTAAAATCGTTAATTTTTCTCCAAAAAAAAAATAAATGAATGAGTAGAAATACCTACAGCAATAATCATTTGGTTCAGAGCTTCTTGAATGGGTGGTCCATGCTTTTGAAGACTGTTGGTTTCTCAAAATTGTATGCAATGTGTTATAGGTGATAATATGCATTTTTAATCAGATTCTCAGAAAGATACATTATCCAAATCAGATTAAGAATTACTGATCTAGTCCAAATTATAACTCAGTCCAAATGTGAGATGTCACTTGCCACAGTCACATAATTAGCCTGTGACATGGGGAACCTCAGAACTCAAATTCCTAAGGCTTCTCATGTTAGTGTACATTCAATTGCTAATCCTTGACAGACAGTGTTTCTTCAACTTTCATTGTCATGTGGACAAACATTGTTGCTTTAGTTGTTGCAAAGGTAAAGTGAATTTATAGAAGCCTGTAGTACACCATTTAAATTTTAACATTTATTGCCACTAAAATAAGTAATTTATGAATTGTATGACAAGAATTATGCCCAGAGAAAAAATCCCTCAAAACAAAGCAAAGTTCCCTTAAACATGCATGATGAAGCCCTAATTTCATCCCCATCTATGGAAGCAAAAATTACATATGCAATGCTTAACATTTTAACATCTACTGGAACTTAACATAAGCAAGAAAACTGTTCTGGAATAGCAGACCTGCTCTGAAATGGTATTTGTCTTTTGGAAAATATACCACCTGTTTTATTGAGATTTTGTGCATTCATATAATCACATATTATGTGATCAGTAAAGAGTCAATATTGCACATAATGCCTGGTATATCACAAGTTTCTTTTTACTACTCCTTCTGTTATGTGCTTCAATAACAATTATTTTCAATATAGAAAATATTACTAAGATATACTGGTTTATATTGGTAATTAAATATGCCTTCAGAGATAATCTGCTGGAGCATCGCACATTTTCCATCATTTTTTTCTTACTCACCTTCTTTCCACAGAGGAAGAAGAAATAATTCCAAGGAGAGGAAGAAATATCCAAGAGTACAAGTAAATATGCTTATGGTCAGTCAATGCTGGATGGTTTAGCATACTTGACTGCTACGGGTGAATCATAGCGCAAAATAACAGTAGCATCTATCATGTTTTATGCAAAATTTTAACAATGGCAACATAATTCACATGGCTGATTTTCAGTAATGGGTTATATTTTATAGCAATTGATAGATGCCTATTAAACAAATCACTAAATGTTATGAAGGCTTTAATTCTTAAAGTAATAATGTGAAATTTTCCTCTGAGCCAAGAATATAAGAAGGGAACATAAACTGATGGAATGACACAGGGTAGTACCAACAGTGAGTCTGAACCTTATAATTCACCATGGAAACTCAGGATACCAAACAGTGCAATAATAATATTCTTGATTCTGAACTTAAATTTGAATAATTAATGGAGTATTTCCTCTTGAATAGAAAGTACATGTTTTACTGTTCAGAAAGGTGATTACACTTTCAATATCTCCATCATATACTGATGTGTGACAAAGGAGAAAAATCTAATATTTCAGTGCCTACTGGCAGACATCATGCCTTACGGTCTCAAAGTGCAAATTAAACAAAGCATCTGTCAAGGCTATAAGCTAAGACCAACTGTACCTGGGGGGAAAATGAGAGAGGAAAAAAAACCCCAAAAAACAGAGGCCAAAAAAACTGGAAAAGGAAAAAAGTTATTAGCATATATATACTTTTACAACTTACAGTAATGATATTTTCATTACTATTAAATAGCAACCGATTAAATAGATTGGAGATGAAAAGGACCTATTAAATCAATATCTAATAGGAGGTCATACTCCCCTAGAGAGAGGAAACGGAAGAAAAAATATAAAAATAGATACTACAACAACATCTTCAGAAGGTTTGGTCAGCAAACCTATAGTCTACAGACATTAAATAGAGGTATTAACATAAGTAGTGAGGAAGATTACATAGTGACACAAAGTACCCGTATCAATACAGAGTCTCGTGCTGTATTTTCAAACATCTAATACATTTGCCTGGAGCTTTTCCAAATGAAAGCTACTCTGTTTACACACAACATAGAAAATGTAATCTGAGTTTCAATTAATTTTTAATTTTGTTCAATCTTGTATTTGTTTTAACAAAAACAATTTAAAGAGGACCATGGCTATCAGTTTCAGAGTGAGCGGGTTCAGTGCCTCACTAGGGAGTTCTTGAATCTGCCATAAAAATCAACATTGTGTATCTAATAGTTTTCATTTGAGAATTGAAAAGTGAATCATCACATTAAGCATTCTTCAGGGCCTCTTTGGTTTCCAGATTAAATATGTAATGTGACCTGTCATCTTGCCACATTCTCGCATTTCCTTTTTAAATAATCATAAATAAGAAAATCTTGCTAATCTTTGGCGTAAAACAGCTATTTGATTCAGCTGAGTTTCAAAGTCTTAGAAATTGCACTAATTCCTTCCTTGGAGTCCTGGTTCATGGCAAAGGTATTCAGCTGAAAGATTCCTTATTGTATTCAAATCTTGTCCCATATGAATTGTTTTGGTTACTCAGTTTATGAAGAGTCTTGGAAATTGAACTAGGTCCGCAACAGAAAACACCAACTGTTTTCCTGGAGAGAGAGGGGAAGAAAATGGAAAACACGATGGAAAATTAAACAGAATTTGACAAGAAGTAGGCTTTATGAGCATTGTTTAAGGTATTAACAAAGATAATTTCTTGCAATTTTACATATTAAAAACAATTATTTCCAAATGCTAATGCCCACCAGGAAATGTAAATGTCCATCACAAAAGCATGTTATTTACCTTATACTTTTCATTCTAGAATTCAGAATAATTCAAAGAATATAGTGCAAATTTGCTTATTATCAGACAGACTGATCAGTCTCTTAGTCTTTTCACTATGTGTCATTGGTGAAACTAGAAACTATATCAAGAGCAGCAAGTAATAGATGTCAATTGCCAAACAACTGACATCTGGATGGATGTCCAGCCCACACTGGACCATGTCAATTGTTCTTTTATTAGACACTTTACACACATTTTTCTAAAGTTTTACATGAATATGCAAGAGCAGTAATGAATAAGGGAAGAAAGAGAAAAGACTGTTTGAAAGACTAAACTATATGAATGTAAGGGTAAAGAAGCATCAGAAATCAATAGGTCAAACAATTCTTTGAGTTTACACTGGGCCACAAATCCACAAACCAGAATGGAAAGATCTGGAATATACATGGAAAATAGGTAGCTTTCTCAGTAAGGTATTGCCTTATTTGCAAGGGGTTGAAGGGATGTTGGCAAAATTAGCCTTAGACCAAAGGGTGTTCTGGACATGCACTAACAAATCTTAAAAGCAAGCCTTGAAAAGATCAAACTGAACCCAAGTAACATAGCTGCATGACAGAACAAGTCCAACACTACTGATAATATAAATCAATATTTGGCATTTAACATTTAAATTGTAAAATGCATAGCCCTCAATCAAAAAATTACCAGGAATGCCAAGAGCAAGAAATATGAACTATAATTAGGAGTGTTATAGGCTGAATTCTGTCCCTCCAAAATGCATATATTGATGCCCTAACTGACCCCCAGTACCTCAGGATGTGAGTATATTTGGAGATTGGGCCTCTAAAGGTGATTAAGTTAAAATGAGGGTGTTAGAGTGGGCTCTAATCTGAATTTACTGGTGTCCTTATAAAAAGAAGTTTTAACACAAATGGAAACACAAGGAATGTGCATGGACAGAGAAAAGCCCATGCAAAGAGGCATCAAGAGCCTAGTCTTCTGCAAGCCAAGGAGAGAGGTCTCAGAAGAAATTAACCCTGCTGGCACTTTGATCTTAAACTTCCAGCCTCCAAAATTGGAATTAACAAAAGAGTGAGAAAATAATTTTCTGTTGTTTAATCCACCCAGTCTGTGTTATATTGCTATATTAGCCCTAGCAAACTAAAATAGGAGAAAGAACACTCAATAGAAATAGGCCCAGAATAACAAAGATGACAAAATTATCAAAGTTACTGAAACAGTGATGCTATGGCTTTATATATTCAAAGAAAAGCGTCAACATGATGAGAAAAAAATTTATTATTTTTAAAGACCCTAATTCTAGAGATTAAATGCAATATTTGAAATAATATAAACCCGGGATGAGTAAATAAAAGAATAGACTGTACCACAAAAGAAGGAAACTTGAAGATATAGTATTTGCATCTATCCAAACTGAAGCCCACAGAGTACAAAGATTGAAAAAAACAAAACAAAACAAAACAAAAAAACATGAACAGAGTATCATTGGCCCATGAGACAATACCAACTACTCTGATATACATGTCATTGAAGTCCCAACAGAAGAGAAGACAGAGGGAGGAAGTTTTTTAATTGAAAAATTATTACCAAATTTCTCCCAAACCTGATGAAAACAAACTCACAAATCCAAGGATCTCATGAACCCCAAAGAGAATAAACACAAAATAAACTAAACCAAGGCAGCTTTTAATAAAATGCTGAAAACTGGTGGCAAAAAGAAAAACATAAAAGCAGACAGAAGGGGGAAAAAAGACAAATTACAAATTATCAACAAAACATAAAAGAATGCAAGTTGATTTCTTGTCACAAAATATATAGATCAGAAGAGAATGAAGTGATGTCTTTGAAATGCTAAAAGATAAAACAAAATGTCAATAATTTTATACCAAGAAAATGTCATACCAAACAAAAAATGTTATTTCAAAAATGAAGATGGAATCAAAACTTTATAGATAAACAAAAGCTGAAATAATTTATTACCAGCAACCCAGCATAATAAAACATATTAAATAAAATTATCCAGAAAGTAGACAAGTAAAATCAGATAACAATTTGAATCTACCCAAAGGAATGAAGAGCACCAAAATAATAAATCTATGAGTAAGTATAAAATACATTTTGTCTAATTTCTAACCGCTTTAATATATGATTGACGTTTAAAACAAAAATACTAATAATGAGGTTTATAGCATATTGTATAAATAAGGTCAATGACAATGACAGCAAAAAGGAGGAAAGCAGAAGTACATGAAGTGTTATGACATTATTTAAAGTAGACTGTAACATACTAATGATGTACCCTGTAAACCTACAATCATGTTTCTCTGATTTGGGCTGCATCAGAATCATTTTGGACTTCACAGAGCACAGATAACTGGGCCTCAATCCTAGAGTTTCTGATCAGAAGATCTTGGATGGGGCTCAAGAATTAATTGTTTTAGCAATTTCCCAGTGATGCTGGTTCAAGGAATGCAGTTTGGGAACCAATGGTCCAAAAATAAACAAACAAATACAGAGGTAAGGCTAATATGTTAATGTTGGAGAAAAAAAATGGAATCCTAAAAAATACTCAATGCAAAAGAAGGTAGAAAGAGAAAAAAGAAAAAAAAAAGAGAGAGAGAGAAGTAGAAAGCAATAGTAAACTGCTAGATTTCTCTCCAATCATATTTTTAACTAGATTACATGTAAATGGTGCAAACATTGCAACTTAAAAGCTTCAATATACATGACGTAAAAACAGGTAGAATTGGAAAGACAGATAGGTCTAGAATTATAGTTTATGGTTACAATATTCTTCTATTAGTAACTAATATAACAAGCAGACAGAAATCCAGTAAATGTATTGAAAACACCATACCATCCTATTGCAACTAACTGGCATTTATTGCATGCTCTACTCAACAGTGATGGAATACAAATTCTTTTCAAATGCACATGGAACATTCACCAAAATAAACTATATTCAAGGCAATAAAAAATGACAGTAAGCCAATTTTAAGGTATTAAAATCACAAGGAGTAAGTTTTAGATTAAATCTCAATTGAACTAGAAATCAAGAACAAAAAAGATATCTGGGAAATCCCCACATATCTGGAAATTAAAAAACATACTGCTAAATAACCCATGGGACAGAGTAAGAATAATATAGTAAGTTAAAAATATTTTAAATTGGAATAAAATGAAAACAAAAATCAAAATTTTTAAGATGTAACTGAAGCAACAGTTAAAGAAAAATTTATAGTTTTAATTACTGCATTAGAAAAGAAAGGTCTTAAAACAATGACCTGAGGTTCCGCTTTAAGAAACGGAATTAAGCCTAAAATGAATAAAAGAAAGAAAATAATTAAAAAGTATAAAAATAAATGGTCTCATACTTAGCAAAGTTTAAGTTACTATTAAAACTATAGTGTATTTTTCATGAAAATGAGGCGAATAAGTCATTTTTGTTTGTTTCTATGCATAAATTCTCTGTTAACACTGCATGGAGGCAATGATACCATTATTTTCTTGTTTGGCTTTAGCAGAACAACTATATAGTTAGTTTTGAAAGTTTTTGAATTTCCTAAATATATCTCATGTATTTGATATAAAATTATTTTTAAAGTACCCAGGATATCATTTTTGTGTGTGTTTTATTTATGGCTTTTGTTTTTCACATTTTCTTTTACAATTATTAACCAGTTTAAATCTCTGATATTCTTTTGTGTGTGATTTGAGTTTCTCAATACCACTTTTCTAATAAATGAAATTCTATAATTTTTTTCAAGCTCTTTGCAATTCAATTGCACTAAATTTGTATTAGATTGCTGCCATCCAACAATTATCAAGAAATGTATCCACAAAAACTTAGATGAGATGGGTCGAGATAGACTTAGGTACTAAGCAGAAAATATTATTTGGGGGTAGATGTTGGAAACTAGTTCCATAAATGTCCAACATGTTTTTGTATATTTTTCTTATTATATCAACACTTGCCTTTCCATGCAGCCTTGCAAGTGTGGTATCTCACCTAATAAGAACTTATTCACTCCACAGAGCTTATTTTACTCCCTGTATTACAGATCCAGAGGATTTGACTTGACTTAGGGACACAAGAGCAAATATGAGAGATCAAGCCTAGGTATTCTCAATTTGTATTGTTTTGAAAACACTATAAGGGAGCAAAATTAAGATAAGGTCTCAAACATTTCACTTGATCTCAGAGCAGTAGTTCTCTACTCAAAAGGCAACATAAAATTCAACTTTTCTTTCTTTTTGCATAATGCATAAACTCAAAAGCTTAGGATATGATATATATTTTTATTATAAATAATAGGAAACTAAATTTAGGTTAGATGTAACAAATATTTTTTGACAAGTTACTAAACACTAAGTGGTTCACAAAATAATATTTAGAATATCTCTAGGTATTTGAAAAATTAGTTATTGATGCTTTTAGTATATTAGTTAACATTCCACTGCAACATACAGAGTGACATGGGAGCTTCTTATAATACCTCACTGCTCCCTCCCAAAGAGGGACATGGTAAAATAACATTGCCACTCTTTTTTATTTGGGGCAAGCTGAATATGCCCTGCTGTAAAGCACAATGAACTTGCTGTCAGGAGATAGGGGATCAAGTCTAAATTCTGACTCATTCATCATAACTTTCCATAAAGTATTATATTTTGGAGTCCTCGTTTCTTCATTTGTAAAATAATGATGAAGGCAGGGTGACCTCAAAAGCTCCTTCACTTTCCGTGATCATATAATTCATCACATATTTCATTTTCTGAATTTAAAATGTCAGGAAAGAAGGGAGCCACTCTCTTACATGCGTAGAAAGTAAATTGATTTAGCCTTTTAGTTTTGGCAGAGCAGCACCTAATGTGCATACTGTTGGGGCCAGCAAGTCCACTTTCAGAGTTCCTGATCTCTTGCAGCACTCTCATAGGAGAAAGTGTTACAAGAATGATTACAACAGAAAAGAACTAAAACCTAAATACCCATCATTATAGATACAATCCACAATTAGGGTAGGAACAGTCATCTTACCTTTATTCTAGAATACTGTAAGGTAGAATTACACAGAAATAATCCATTCTCAACATATGAATGCGTCATTTAAAAACTAAGTTGAAGAATTTATATATTATAGATTCAATTTTTGTTTAAAAACTAAGGTTTATATTTTAAATATATATACATATATATATGAAATGCATATACTTTTATAAATATATACACTCACATTTATAAATGTCCTGTAAAAAATACGTAACAAAAAGTTACTAATCATTATCTCTGTGCCCAGGAGTGTTGAATCCAATTTAAAATTATATTCTACATAACATTTTAAATTAGTGCCTAGTGGTTTAATAAATAGTCACTTCCTGAAAATTAAAAAGTGTTACCCAATCCAAAGTATTAAAAACAGTTTAGTTTGTAAGCCTCTCTTCTCTATTTTATCTATGTTCTTTCAGCAATTTATGTACATGAGGTTAACCAAAATTCTACACCTTAAAAGAAACCTTTCATTTAATAGTGCCTTTTGTCCAGTTAACGAGACCTTAAGATGTTGATCCATTTTTAAGTATGCTATATAAAAATCCTCTTTTAAAAAGTCCAATTTGATTGATGTCCCAGAGCAGATACACTAAGTAAAAGTGTTGTACAAAATGTCAACAGCAGATGGTGCACATTTGCTCTTCTTAAACCAGCTTTGTGTTTCCAAAAGAAAACCCAATGACCAAATACACACAAGATTGCTCTAAAAAATGATCAGTATAACAAAAGAGAATTTTAAAGAACTAACCAAAGAAATCAAACAACAATCTCAATCTATTTTCTTATTTTGGGATTTTATTTCTGAATTGAACAAAAGAAACTGATCAAAGTTTTCAGTAATATATTAGAAAAACCAATACAAAAATTCCCACCAGAGGTCAGTAAATGTCATTGAAGAGGAATATGTCTACGGTTTATAGCAAGAACCAGGTGAGTATAACAAGATTATGACATCTAAGATGGATGATATGGGAGAAAAATGGGAAAGGATATTAGCCAAAACTGGGTTGACTTTTTTTTTTTCCTAAAGTTCATCTTTAACAAGGACCCTAAGTATTACAAAGGACCTCTGCTTTGTAAATAATGCTTCCCTCTCCATCCCAAAACTATTTCATTAAGAGAAGAGAAACATCACACAAGTTGTTTCAAGCATGGTTGTAACCTGAACCACATGGGTAATTTTATTCCTTTTAAATTTTGCTTCCCAGGCTCCATTCCATAATTTCTAAAACAAAATATCTGAAGGTAGAGCCAGGGGCCATCTTGAATCTGTGATTCTTTCAATAAACAATATTCACCCATGAATTCATAAATTGGTTTTCTAAAAAATATCCATTTAATAAGCTGCATGTGCATTTATAATCAAATGTCCTTTTTGGTGTTTATCAAAATATATTTTCAAAATTATGAAGTGATCAAACATATACTAAAAATTGTAATAATAACTCAAGTCAGAAGTAAAATTAATAATGAAGTCTTATGTTCACAGGAAATTTTTTAAATGAAATCTTAAATTTATATGCATTCTTGCTGCAGAAGTATGATTAGGCTAGCAGTGAAAGTATAGTTAGTTCAAATGTAAAAATATTTTGAAATTTGATAAAATTCTGTGGGTTAATGGAAGAGAAATACAAGTTTAAGGAGATAAACATAATGTACAATTTTCAACTGCAAAATTAAGAATATTTTTGTGCATCTTAAAAATAAATAAGGTTGATATCACATAGCTAGAATATTTATATTCCAGTGAATATGTTTAAAGGAATGACTTTAACTGTAAAATGTCAACATCTGCACTATGTTAGAAATTATATCTTTTGCAACTATTAAACTTATTAACTATTTGGATGTAAATTTTTAAATGCTTGAGGGGGTATATAGTTTTCTATATTTTGTAAGAACTCCTATAGACTACTGTTCTGCACTATGATAGGTTTACAGAAGGTAAATGGGCTGGCTGGTTTGTGCCCTAAAATGAGTGCCTTTTTTCCAACAGTAATTTCTTCCTATCACAGACATATAGTCCATAAGACCAAGATTCTTTATAAAACTAGTGTTTCAAAAAAAATTATTTTTGGAAATATTCCTGGTTTAAACACTGCATATTACAATGAAGTGGTTTTATTTTGTTTTTTTTTTTAAAGGTATTCAGTCTGGTAAAAAGGTTAAAAAAACGTTTTTTAATGTATTTATTGTTAAAACTATTTGTGACATTCCCTTGTTTCCCAACGTGATTTTAAAAACTTTTCCCATGATTACCTGATGTATGCTGTGGAAATGAATACTCATTTTTTTTTTTTGGTTGGCAAATATAGTTTATTTAGTAAGTAAATTGGGGTGGGGGAGAGAAAGAGATATTCACCTCCCCAAGGTAGGGGAGGGGAGGATACTCATTTTTTTATATAAGCCTATTCACATTATAAGCAGGTAGGAGAGTCTGGCTCATAAATACCTTATATACTATTACTAAGTCAAAAAAACCCCACTACACTTAGCATTAGATATGTAGGGCGATATTTGCCTCACTTCCTCCTTTGACAGAGTGTTTAAGTGACTTTGCAATTTGTGAAGCCATTGCTAATTCATTTTTTAAAAACTTCATATAATGCTTTGGAAATATTTAGATTCAATCATTAGCTATGTGTCTGGTTTTTTGAGGTACAGTACTTACCCTCTGTTACATTTTGCTACTTCATCAAACAGAAGTTTCCAGCGAGGACGTCCAATAAAAAGTCTTGAATTCAGTGCATGATATTTTTCTCCAATTATCTTCTGCCAAAAAGAGAGGACAATATTATTCACAGATTTGGATAGATCGCCCATTTTTCTAACATCATTTCTGCTGGTGCTGTGGTTTCCCACCAAATTGCTGTGATATAAAGAACAGAAGTATCAAATGGCAACCTATTAAGCACAATCATTTTGAACCATAATTTCTTTCCTCTTTTACTTTAAAATTCATTATCTTCTTGAATGCCATCCTTACAAATGATTTAGGCTTAAGTTAGCTGCTTCATTTTTAGAAACTGCGATGTAAGACAAAGAATGCATTCTAATTGTTCACTGTCAAAAAGGCTCAGCATACCTCAGTCTCCCAAAGGCGCGGGATTACAGGCTGAGCCATGAATGGATTGCCTGAACCCGCGGGTTCGAGACCCGCCTGGGCAGCGAGACCTCTTCTCTACAATAAATTTAAAAAATCAGCCAGGCGTGGTAGCGGGCGCCTGTAATTCTGGCTACTCAGAAGGCTGAGGCAGAAGGATCGCCAGAGTCCAGCAGGTCGAGGCTGCGGTGACCGGGAGCGGCCACTGCAATCTGAGTGACAGAGTGAGATTCCAACTCAAAAAAAAAAAAAAAAGCCTCAGCATATAAACTTCACTGAAGTATTTTTGCAACACAAATACAGTTGTCATGTCTGGTTCATTATTTGGGTAAAATACTAAAAATTTTCATCATAATTTTGGGAAATGATCCTAGACAAGACAGTCCAAGACAGCAGAGCTCCAGACTTGAGTTAGCAACAAACGGCTGTTAACGGGCTGGTGTCTGCAATTAACACAGCATTTGATCTAAATTGATGGTAAAGAGACATAGTGAAGTGAGAAAACCAAAGTATCTAAGTCCCAGGTAGACAAACTGAAACCTAAATGTAAACTACCTTCCATACCTTAATTACAGCAATACCAGGAGAAAAAAATGATTTTGATTTGCTTCAGGAGAGTAGTAAAATGAAATACTTTTTACATACCAACTAGGGTAGAAATCTGACTAGAAAAAAATGGGGTTAGATTAGTTTGATGTAACTGACAATCATTTACATTTTGTATTCAAAGTGTTGTTAAAATGTATGATGAAAAATACTAAAATAAAACTTATAAAAGCATTTGTGCCTAGATTTATACACCTATCCAGCTCTTTCATGTTGCCTTCAAATAGTAGTTTCACCATCTGTAAAATGGGATTATACTATCACCTACTTCTTGAATCTGTTGGTATGAGACAATATATGTGAAATCCTTAGCACAGTGTCTAGCACAGTAAATCAATAATGCATGATGGGCTACTTTTTTTTAGTTTCTTTTAGCCAGAAATAGATGTAACTGTACATTAACTTTCTTTCTGTGTAAAACCTCTCCTTGATGAAAGGCTACTCATGTATAGCCTGAATTTTAGAAGTAAGGAACTTGAAGTGACAGTGAAGAGGGGAGGGACGGACTCATAAGGTCTGTTCCAGCCCTATGTGCGAAGGACAAAAGAAAGGCATGATGTGGTTGACTTCAAGGGCAAGCCATGAGTTTTCTGGACACATTCCAAAGAAGGCCTTCCTCTAGGAAACTTCTGCTCAAACCATCTGCAGAAATCTTCTTCCAGCACAACTTATAGTAAATCTTCTATTATCAAGAGGTTTGTTTAATTTACAGTAACATCCTACCACATACCTGTATCCCATCTGTTTGACTGAGGTACAGCTGGATGTTGACATAGTCAGGTCTGTTCTCTTGCCAAAACTTAGAGGATATAAAAATGAACCGACATTAAAATCCTTTCTGTATACTCAGATTTTCTCCCATTCTAACATATGGGACTCCAGATTTCAACACATATCTTGGTTTATCACAGTCAATATCTATAAGCAAATAAGTATACATATGCGTATAGATGAATATATAACAGATTCTAACATTAATAACCTGTTTTACTGGTATAAATTAGGTATGATGGTGGCACTCAAAGAGAATAATTATTTTTATACAAATTCTAGCGTGCTAAATACTGTACTGATATTCTCCTAGTCCTTCCCAAATATTCCTTATTTTATTCCCTAAAAGTCCCCTAAATTTTACCTAGGATCTTATTAATCAAGAAAAAAAAAAGGCAACAGTGACACAGGATATACATACTAGGAAATAACAAAACTAGACAAACAAAAACAAACAATAGACACTTTTCCTGTTCCTGCCTCCGCCTTATTCAACACCAGATTCTCTTGTATAAAAACACACGAGGCAGGAAGTATACCTGCAAGAATAGTGGCAAGGCCAAAAAAGTAGTTACAGTAGAAATTCTTCCTTATGAGAGGCATCCTGTCCCCTCTCCAGTCATACCCGCAATCCAACATTCACAACACAACAGGAGTCTCCATCACTCTGATTTACCACGTATGTTCCAATTAATCCAGGGCCTGTGCCTTGCCATCCCCTTAAGGTCACTTTCACAGATACAAGGCATTGGCTTGCTCATTAGACTATAAACCCCTTATCTTCCTTGTTCATGTCCAGTTCAAATGCAGTGACTGATAGATTTTTTTCCGAATGTTTAAATAAACTAAATTCCATCTTCGAGTAAAAGTTCTTGTTTCTGAAAACATAGTGACGGTCAGAAAAAAAATCAAGGTGCACTAATGAGGCTAATCAAAGTTGGGGTAAAAAGGAAAAGTCAAGAGTTGGTTGAAGCAAGACATACAATTAAAACTTTACCTCAGGGAGTAGCAAAGTTAAAAGTCCAACAATTCCTTGGCTGAAGAGGGAGGAGCCAATGTGGAGTAGCAAATATAGTACTTTGAAATGGACCTCAGTAAAATCATTTAACTATTCTATATCCTCTTCGTACTGAATGCTAAATAAATGCTATTTAATAAATATCTAAAGTAAAAACAACAACAACAAAAAATACCTGCAAAAATAAATAGTCTGGAAAAAATATAGGACAACCAATTTCTTATTTCTCCCTAGCCCAGGTTCTGGGAACTGTCATTCTACTTTCTATAAGTGGCATCATACAACATTTTTCCTTTTGTGTCTGGCTTATTTCACTTAGCATAATGTCTTCAAGGTTCCTCGGTGTTATAGCATGTGACAGAATTTTCTTCTTTTTACAGGCTGAATAGTATTACATTGTATGTGTATGGTACATTTTGTTTATCCATTCATCTACTGATGAATATTTGAATGGTTTATACCTTCTGGCTATTGTGAATAATGCTCCCATGAACACTGGTATACAAATATATGTCTAACTCCCAGCTTTTGATTATCTAGATATATGTACAAAACCAATCTATTTTTTTTTTTTGGCATAAAGTCTAAAGTCCTTATGTAATCTGTTTCTTCCTGGAAAATGTAGGCACACCCTCTCTGATTGATTCGTCTACTGTTCTTCTTGTTGCTCATTCTGCTTCATCCACACATACTTTCTTCCTCCTCTTCAGCGTAGCAAGTTTACTATTGCATCAGAGCTCTTGCCTGCTTTGAACTTTTTCCAAAATATGTGTCTAGTCTATTCATTTATTTCACTCAAGTCTCTGCTCGAACAGCATTTTGTCTGATGGGTGCTTCTGAACATAAAAAAATAAATTAACATGCTCTCGATTGTTTATGTTGCTTTACCCGTGCTTTCCTTTTCTTCTGTGTCCTAGTGGAAATCTCAGAGTCAGACATTCAATGTATTTTGTTTGTTGTCTATCTCCTTACTTAGAATGTAAACCACATGAGATCAGAAACTATGTTTTATTTTGTTACCTAATGCATCTCCAGCTCCTAGATCAGCCCTGATTGATAGTAGACAGTTAATAAATATTTGTTGAATGACAGAATGACTGAATGAATGAATACATGCATGAAGAGGTATGTATGATGATAGGCATTTCAGCATTCTTTGTAATAAAAACTTAAATATCCAACATTAGAAAATTGTTAAATAAACTAGATAAATCAATGTTATGAAACGCTCTACAGTAGTAAGAAGAATGAGGTAGTTCTGTATGTATTGATATAAAAATCTCAAAACACAGTAATAAGTTTTTAAAAAGGCGATTTTCAAAAATATAAATAGTATGACCAAATTTATAGAATTTATAGAACACTCAAGAGTTACCTCTGATGACATATATTAGGTGGAGAATGTCATAAGAGGAGATTTTATTTTATCTGGATTGCCTGAAATATTTGTAGCAAAGATGCATATGTATACTACTTGTATAATTTGAATAAATATAGATAAACAGATGAAATATGTTACAGGGAGGATAGGTGAAGAATGTCTACTTTCTATATCCATAAAAAATAAAACAAAGAATTGAGGATTTTTGAGATTCTACTTGTGTACCAGAAGTCTGGTAATGGTTTATTTGAAATAGCAAAGATGGAGATACAAGATAAGAACTATCAAAACAAAGGATGAAAGGGGTGTAGCAAGTGTCTGCTAAGTTTCTCTCCACGGTCTTCTCGCACCACCTCCAGCCATATGCATACATTTCTGTGTGAACATACTATGTTAAAACATAGAAATGAAAGTTTATAAGTCATAGATATAAACATATGCATACTCATAGACATCCATATCTTAAAAGATGTGTACCTAATTTCTAACAAACATTATGAGGGGGAGACCCCCCAAAAACTGAATTTATTTATGCAAAATTGTGTATTAATACATATTTAAATTTTAGTCACCTGCAAAGTACACTCTGTTTGCTACAATACATTTATTGAGATGCTTTTTCTACTGCTCAAAACAGTTTTTGAACTCGTCAATTTTGAAGCCTTTTAGCACTATTGCTGTTTTAGTTTGCACCTATTGGCAAAACGTCTCCTTTTGAGGACTTTTTTTCATTGGGAAAACAAAATGAAGACGTTCAGGGTGAGATTGAGTGAATAGGGAGAGTAGGGCATGAGGGCAAGCTGTTTTTAGACAAAAACTGCTGAACACTCAGTGGTGTGGGCGGGTGCGTTGTCATGGTGGAAGAACCAGTCACCTGTTTGCCACAATTTGGAACATTTTTCCATATATCGTTACGCAAACTTCTCAAAACTTCCAGATAAAAACTTTTGTTGACCATTTTATCCAGAGGAACAAATTCTGATGTACTACAAAGGGTCTGCCCTCCTAAAGATATTCTGGTTTTGGGGGGGGGAGTACTCCCTCATATCTCCTTTTTTTAGGTTTTAGGGATTTATTTCTTTCCTTGCTACTTATTTCATATTTCTATACACAGATAAGTCATTTTTTCTATAGAAAGCAATTATTGCTTTTGTAATATAGAAAATCTATTTTTAACTTGAAAAATTACAAAACTAAAAACAATATTGATGTTACCTTGTTATACAACACACAGAGCAAATCTGCAAACCAACGAAAGGATTGAATATCTCTGCACACCCAAATAAAGTACAGTCTTCTAAGCTTGTATGGTTTCCAGTCATCCCTTTAAAATTAAAATAACATGGTAGTGATTATCATAGTAAGAAAAAATATTAAATAATCCCTATATTCTTGAAGATTTTCTTTTTATCAGTAAGTAACCAGCAGAAAAACCACTCATTTATTTTGTTTTGTATTGTTTTGTTTTGGAGTCAGAGTGTCACTCTGTCGCCCAGGCTGACTCACTTACATTCTAACATCTGATACAACCAGCACTTATTACAACTGCTAAATGAATTCAACATGTAATATACTGAGTCAAAGACATGATATACTCCATGAATTTAAGTGTCCAAGTGTTTGGTGAATTTAAGTGTAAACAATATTCACAAGATTGCATATTATCTGTTTCCAGTTGAAGGCCATAACTGAGCTCCTGGATAAGAACAATACTGGTACCTGCATTTCAGAAAAACAAGTTCTCTATTTTCAGTTATTTCTATCACTGAGCAGGGTTCCAAAGGTCATTCGGTTTTGCCCTGACTTTTAGGCAAAATGAGCCAAAACTACTCCAGAAAGTTGGTTGTTTATCCCCTTCTTAATAATCATTAAAGAAATATTTCACAACCATGAACTATGTAATGCATTCCAGAAACTCATAATTCCAAGTCTGGATCTCTATTTATAATTATAAAGTAGGCTTGAGGTTAGAAAAATGTTCTTCCTTTTTCATAACATTAGTTGTCCAAATAACTTGTAATGTGTTGTCAGAAACAAATCATTTCTGGCTCGGAATATGGTTATTTTTGTAATAACTTCCAGAAAGTCCCAAATTTACATCTAGTGTTTAAATTGAAAATAAAATATCACTCAAATATGTGATTTCAACTTATTATTATTTTTGGTATGCCACAAAACAGATTTTTAATATAAATTGTGTCTACTTGAAAAGTGAATGGAATAAATTTGAGAATAACTTCTTGTTGTTTGTGTTTTCATGAGAATTAATAACAATCAATTAACTTTTGCTTATAATCCTGGGATTGAAATAACTGAAAGAGTGTATCCCTCTTAAGCAATCTCACCTGTGACTTTTATTTTCTTCAGTCTATTGTAAACTTGCTAAGCAATAAGCCAAGGACTGATGTGTTTATTTGTCAACTTCTCAGAAAGGGTTTCCCTGACTGTACTTCAACAATAATCCTGGCCCTTTATTTAGTATCTCAATAATCTGTCTTCTCTTTGTCATAGTTCTAATATATTCTGAAATAATTTTATTTATACATTTCTCATTGCTTTATTTTTACCTGCTCTATTTGAATGTAAGCTTTTCAAGGACAGGGACTCTATTTTCATTCATTACTGCCTTCCAGTACCTACAAGAGCACATGGGTGCTCAAAAACATGTGTTGACTGAATGAATGAGTATGCCACTTACTACTGGTAAGGAAGTAGAGAAATGAAGGATGGTGGTGAGTGATTTTTAATAGAGGAAAAGGACAGAAAAATACCTAATTGTGATACTGACATATTTTTACAAGAGCATATGCTGGGAGCCACAGAACACAAGTTGAGACTGAAAATTATTCTCCTCAACAACTTGTAGAATTCCTTGAACAATAAGTAAAATAATTATGTAAGGAATTATTTTATGTTAAAAGAAAGATGTCTGAAATATCAGCAGTTCTCTATTTGGACTGGTAAAATGGATCAGAATGACATACAGCAGGGTGTTGAGTATTGACGCAAACGGAGTTACTCCAATGCCTCCAGCCACGCAGAGGCTAACCTCATAGTTCAGTGATTCCTCAAATGGACTTCCAAATGGACCGTCGATGTATAGCCTGGAGAGAAGGCAGACAAAGATAGGAAAAAGGAAGACACAAGTTAAGTTAATTTTCTACATTATGTAGCAAACATGCTAAATACAATTTCTAGGCTTTGTGATGGCTTAAGCCTCATTTCATTATTTTCCATAGTAATAAGCCAATGATGTTTATAAATTGTCAATATTAAAACAAATGCATCTATTTCTCAGTATGCCTTTTAAGGAAAACATTAACTAAAAGTGTAGAGAAATATAAATATGACCATGCCCGATAGTTAAGCACAAGTTAAAGCTCCCATCATATTATATTATTTTATTTAACTACATTAAAATACCAACATTTTGCCGTGTCTAAGTAATGTTCCCTTCCAAGGCAAGAGCAATAGCAAAAATATTTAATATTAAGTTAAGGATTTACTATGTGAACAGAAAAATTATAGGAATAAGGAAAAGAATTTAACACTGTTTCTCCTCTTGCTCTAGTTAGGTTCATAAGCATAGAAACAGTTGAAAAACAATCACAAAGGAAGCTCTGTTTACTTTACTTCTGCCTATATATTCAAGTGTGAGAGAGAGAGAGAGAGAGAGAGGAGAGAGGGGAAGAGAGGCAGAAAGAGAGAATCATTCTTAACTGCAAAAGAAATGCTAATGGTTCAATCAATATTCATCCTCCCATTCTTTCTTAGTTACAGAACATTAATTTTATTTAGAGAAGCAAAGTGTCCAGCCAAAATACTACATTTCTCAGACTCCCTGCATCTGTTTTGGTTGTGTGACTATGTTCTGGCCACCAGCCCCTCTTTTCTCCTCATCTGCTTTCTGACCCACACATCCTCCCCGCTCCCTACAAAGTTCTTCTTTGCTGTTTTGAAATAACTTTGGACAAGAAAACTAGAACTCGGAGTTCTAGTCATTTACTACAGATGGGACACAGACATGTTACTTGTCCTTCCTAAACTTGATTTCCTTCATCTAACCAAGGGTCAACGTACCAAAAAAGCCTGGTAAGAATTGTAGCAAACCAAACAAATATCAGAAATGCTTTCTGTTAATGGCATCAGTGAGCACCTATGGTGCATTATCAGGCCATCTGGGAGACCCTGCATCCACGCAAGGAATGAACAAAGTTCAGTATGAACTGGGAAATGCAGATGGGAATTTAGTTTGAAGACCCTTGGAGAGTCAGCTGTTGTTCATTTAAAATGTTTGTTTATACCAGGTAAGATAAATGTTGCTTATTTTGGAGAAAGGATGAAGATAAAATTACTAGGAATTGATTACTTGGTAACATCTTTTTATTCTCTTTTCAGAAAAATAGAGAAACCACTTAAGATATTTTCACATATTGAACCCAATTAACTTGCAAAATACATTCCCTTTCATTTATAAGCTGTGACTTTCTCCCTATCTTAGTACATACATTATCTTTAAAGAAATGCTATGTTACTATTATACTGTATAACAAGATTACAGAAACCAATGGCAATTTTTCCAAGTCTTGCAAAAACATAGTGGAGATGAGATCAACTTGACACATTTTAAAACTTCAATTGATAACTAATGAAAAGATTCCCTTATGAAAAATTGTGGATCTAAGAAAATTCTAAGAATAAAAGAAAGCTCTTCCCTGACCCACCCAAAAATACATAAACATTTCTTGAAATTTAAATAAGTTTTCTCATTAAAAGTGGAATTTATTGGGCAACCCTCTCGCATCCCCTCCCACTGTGGGAGTTCTCCTGTCCTCTTAATAAATCCTACTTTCTAAAAATAAATAAATAAATAAATAAAGTAGAATTTATTAATATTTTTAGAAAGCTGATTTAATTGCTTTATTGAGTAATATTGAATAAACCAATTATATCACATCTCCTTCTTTCGACAGAGAAATTCATCAGATACAAATTAATTCAACAATATTAAAGATAAAAATATGTTGATAATTCTTGAAATTTTGTTCTCATCACTTGCTACCTATTGCCTCTGTTCAAACACACTAATATAATAATAAATTAAAATAGAATTTATTTAGACAAACTGAGGAGAAAGCTAATCATTATTTTAATAAAATGTCTTTATTATTTTTTAGAGTATATATTAATTTACTAGTAATCCCTCCCCAAATTTTGCAGAACAATAATATGAAGGAAAATATTAAGTCATGGCCACATAAATTTGGGGAAACTGTTTAAGTTTTTTTTTTTTAATTTGCTTATTTTAAAACAATCTTTCAGTTGCATTCTTATACACCAACAACAAGCAGGCAGAGAACCAAATAAAAAGCACAATCCTATTCACAATAGCCACAAAAAAAATGAAATACCTCATCATCTTCCTAACCAGAGAAGTGAAAGAACTTTAAAATGAGAACTACAAAACACTGCTCTAAGAAATCCAAGAAGACACAAACAAATGGAAAACTATTCCATGCTCATGAATAGGAAGAATCGACATTGTTAAGATGTCCATCCTACCAAAGACAATCTACAGATTCAATGCAATACCCATTAAATTACCAACATCATTCTTCTCAGACCTGAAAATGACAATACAGAAATTCATATGGAAACAAACGACCATGAGTAGACAAAACAATCCTTAGCAGAAAAAACAAAGCAGGAGGTATCACCCTTCCAGACTTCAAACTTTGCTATAAGGCTATAGTAATCAAAACATCCTGGTATTGGTACAAGAACAGGGACATAGACCAATGAAACAGGATAGAGATTCCAGAAGCAAAGCCTCAATTTCTCAACCAACTTATCTTTGACAAAGCTTCCAACAACAGCCACTGAGGAGAGGAGAGCCTATCCAGTAAATGGTGCTGGGAAAACTGACTAATCACATGCAGAAGATTGAAACAGGAACCCTACCTATCGCCATACACAAAAATTAACTCTAAATGGATCAAAGACCTAAACGTAAAACCTCAAGCTATAAGAATCTTAGAAAACACAGGAGATACCCTTATGGAAATTGGAACTGGCAACCAAT